TTGGGGATCAAATTCAGGGCCTTGTGTGTGCTCAGCAAGCACTCTACCACTTAGCTACATTCCCAGCCCTCTTTTTCTTTTTTCTTTTAAACAGGGTTTCACTAAGTTGCCCAGGTTGGTCTTTAACAGGCTTCCAAGTAGTTGGGATTACAGACCTGCATCACCAGGCCTGGCAAAACTGGAATTTGAAAGGAGGTGATAAGGTGGTGAACTAAAATGGTTGCCTAACCCTTCCTGAGTCCTTACAGCCTTTATTATTAAATCTGTGCACCCCATGTTTCAGCACGACAAGAAAAAATGGTCCAAACAACATAAAAAAGTTGGTGGGGTGACAGTCATTAAATGGTTTATAACCAATGTTGGACTTGTCAAACTTGTAATTCTAGTAACATGATCAGGTCACCCATGAAGGCACGTGCTGGATCACTGAGACACTTACAGATGGATTTTATTCCACTGCTTGCCTTCCCACAGATGAAGGCTGGTACAGGGAGAGCAGCAGAGGTCGTGAAAAGATATAAGCAAATGTGTCTCTCTGTGGAGCATTACTGTGAAATTGTCACTGAGAGATATTCATCCCACTGGACAAGCTGTAAAACAGTTCTACAAAGTATTACAGACAGTGCTGTTAAGCAAAGGTAACTGAATTGATCCAGTTGCCTAGGCAAAGGTATCACCAACTGACAGCCATGAGACACCCCCCCCCCAACATACACACAGGAAACCATAATTTTTCCCGTTTGCAATAGAAGGCTGCATTCCTATAATATAAAATGGTATATTGCCCACTCGTGACCCTGGGTGGGACTCAATACTGCAAGGCTATGACAAGGCATATTTATCAAGATAAAGAAGCCCCTCACTAGCCAGGTGTGGTGGCACATTGTGACGGACCAGCCCAGACCGGAGCAGTTCAGTCCGACAGGAACAGGGTCCTCGAGAGAGTGGGCAAGGATTCGGCGAGTGACAGACAGACACACAAGAGCTTGGTGAAAGTCTGAGTGTATTTTTGCAGCTACAAGGTTTGAGATATATACAGCAAAGATTGCAAAAGTTCATCATCAGCATGACTGTTCTGTAATTAGTCACTTCCTAAGATTTTCAGTAAAACTAAAACAATTTTGCCAACCCTCACGTATAGCCAAAACACATTTCTTTATCTTATCAACCTGGTACCAGTCAGCAAATTCCTGCTTTATGATACTATGGTTCCAACTACCAGTTTTTATTACACACT